TATTGGATTTGTGGGAAAGGTTCTTATTAGAGTCCCAGTAGGATCTGCCACTTGCTGAAATCCATGTATTGGTTGCTTTGTGCTCTTGCCTTTTTTTCTCTGCTCTTAGTTATTCCTAGATTATTCAGCTTTCCCAATTCTTTCAATGTTCTGACATGGAAAGATGAATTTGCATCTCTTGGATAGCCTTTTCACAAGTTTGGGGAAGCTGAGGGCTCACTTTTTCCAGTGAGAGAAATCGCAGGTGAAGGCAGTCTCTCTTCACCCTGAGCTGTGCTACCTTGACATGGTTAAAGTGAAAGTGGTTTTTTTTTTCATCCTCTTCAATGCTTGAGTTTTTGCTCCATGGGGGTGCTAGAACCTCTCAGCTGTATGCTGAGGCTTTGATAAATGTATTCTAGTTCATGGGTCATTGTTAAAATCAGTTTCTACGGGGATGTGAGATATAGAATCTATTTCATCATCTTACTGATGTTCAGGAGAGATTTTTTATTTCAGTCGGTCTCAAATATCCATTCTACTTTGTAGAACATTCAAGTTATATTAAAAAATTCATCTTTTTATTGATTTGATGACAAGGTTAGTGAAAATTTTTATGGGATGTAAATAGGAGGACAGTAGTTAAGCAGAATCAAGAGGTCTGCATGTGGGTAGTAGATAGTGCAGCAAGCAATGGTTTGAGTTTGGATGAGATCAAAGAATCCAGCTTTAAAGGTCAGGCAGGTAAAAATCTGAAGGTAGGATAGTTTGAGGAATGGTCTTGTAGAGAGGAACTAGAGTGAACTTAATCCTGTAAGAAGGGATGTTTTCCGACGTGAAATCATAGCCATCTAAGTTTGTGTTTCTTCTAGCAATAATTACAGGTAAACACATTTGAAATTTAATCAATTTTACCTATCATTATAAGCTGGAGAGACATGTTTACTGTTTCTAACACATCTTCTAATGGCATTTGATCAAGCAAAGAGCAATTCTGTTGTCCTCAGTGTATTTTCTCAATGACAATATCACACTGGAAGGACATTTTCAAGAAGGTTTTAATTGATTTAATAATTGTTATGAAACATTGGAATAGGATGTTTGTATTAAAATAGTGAGCCAGATAGTATCCAAAATCTATAAAGAGTTCACCAAACTCCACACCTGAAAAACAAATAATCCAGTGAAGAAATGGGCAGAAACATGAATAGACACTTCTCTAAAGAAGACATCCAGATGGCCAACAGGCACATGAAAAGATGCTCCATGTCGCTCCTCATCAGGGAAATACAAATCAAAACCACACTCAGATACCACCTCATGCCAGTCAGAGTGGCTAAAATGAACAAATTTAGAGACTATAGATGCTGGAGAGAATGTGGAGAAACGGGAACCCTTTGGCACTGTTGGTGGGAATGCAAACTGGTGCAGCCGCTCTGGAAAGCAGTGTGGAGGTTCCTCAAAAAATTAAAAATAGATCTACCCTATGACCCAGTAATAGCACTGCTAGGAATTTACCCAAGGGATACAGGAGTGCTGATGCATAGGGGCACTTATACCCCAATGTTTATAGCAGCACTTTCAACAATAGCCAAATTATGGAAAGAGCCTAAATGTCCACCAACTGATGAATGGATAAAGAAATTGTGGTTTATATACACAATGGAATACTACTTGACAGTGAGAAAGAATGAAATATGGCCTTTTGTAGCAACGTGGATGGAACTGGAGAGTGTTATGGTAAGTGACATAAGTCACACACAGAAAGACAGATACCAGTTGGGAAGAAGATGGCGGCGTAGGAGGACGCTGGGCTCCCCGCATCCTGCTGATCACTTAGATTCCACCTACACCTGCCTAAATAACCCAGAAAACCGCCAGAGGATTAGCAGAACGGAGTCTCTGGAGCCAAGAGCAGACGAGAGGCCCACGGAAGAGGGTAGGAAGGGCGGTGAGGCGGTGCGCGCTCCATGGACTGGCGGGAGGGAGCCAGGGCGGAGGGGTGGCTCGCCGGCCAAGCAGAGCCCCTGAGTCTGGCTTGCAAAAGCGGAGGGGCTGGACAGATGGAGTGTGTTCCCACAGCAAGCTCGACTTAGCGTCTGGGAGGTCATAAGTTAACAGCTCTGCTCAGAAAGCGGGAAGGCTGGAGGACAAAGGGAAGGAGAGCTGCTGAGCCCCCATATGACAGAGCTCAGTTTGGTGGGGAACAAAG